AAAGTTGATTAGCTAGTCTTTAGGCTAGGCTCTGAACTAAAGTTTTATCACACAACCTGTTTATGGCAAGATAAGAATCGCAAATAGGTGTATTGAGAAGTGCGCTAATGGTAAAACTACCACTGATATACATGCTAAAATAGCTATACCGCCCCTTACTTGTATCTGAATATCTTTACACTTTTGTGTTTCATTTATTCTTAGCTAACTGCTATTGCAGTTCTACTATAACGATCCTACAATGCAGGATCTGCACCTTTATCTAATAGAACCTTTATTACATCTCTATGACTACATTTAGAAGCCTTATGTAAGGGAGTTTACCCATGCATATTATCTACAGCATGAACATCTGCACCTTTGCATATTAGAAACTCTACTATCTCTTTACTACCACTTGCAGCAGCGCAATGTAAGGGAAGCTTTTCTATCTTCAGCCTAGCCATCTGCACCGCTTGCACCAAAATCCATACTATCTCTTTACGCCCCATCTAATAGCTAGCTGTAAAAGAGTTTCTCTAATAATATTTATTGCGTTAACCTTTGCACCCTTTACTAAAAAACTTCACCACCTCTTTAAAACCCCTTTTAGCAGCCCCATATAAGGTAGTTTTTTCATTAAAACCCCCCAACCTCTACAAACCAAAATCCAAGCAATCCATACGGAGCACCAACGAAGTTAAAAACTTCATGAAAACTACTGCAGTCTTGTCAAGTCGAGAAAAAATCCGCCTAAAATGTTTTATCTTACAAAAAAAATACTCGATAAAATGCCTCTCTTTATAAACGTATTCGTAATAGTATCTCCGCGCTTTTCGATTTCTTTTTAGAGGAGTGCATTGCTATAGCAACCCTTATCGGCTACTAAAGTAGAGTTTGAACATTTTCAGTCAATGTTTTAGCCTGTGTAATATCATTTTTTTGATTAAGAGTAGTTGTAATCCATCTTTGCTGCGTCCTAGTGCTTCTTGAGCTCCAGAATCTTTTTTGTATTCAGCAGTACAAGCATGAGCTCGAATGATTGTCCCATCAATTATTTGCACTTCCAAATCTGGATCTTATGTATATTTTAACAATCTTTCTCAAATTCCCTTTTATACCAATTTTAAATCTCTTATGTACACTTCTGTAATTGCCATATATTTCTAATAAAAGTCCTCATTGGCAACCACTTCGTGTCACATGCTACACTGATTCCATGAGTTTTCTTAGATGATCTTCATTTTTACTGTGTATTTCTTTTATACTTTTCAAATTTGCAAAAATTTGTTTCCATTTTGTTTCTTATGTGTAATATTTCATTTGAGTTTCTCCTTGTTTATTAACTGGTAAACTACCACTTTCTTCTTGCTTCTTTAAATTTTGGTTTATAGAAGTTAGNAAACATACCAATTTTTTTAGCATGGCGTAACGA